TGTTGAAGTCTCCCACTATTAGTGTGTGGGGTTTAATATTTGATTTAAGCTTTAGGGGTATTTCTTTTACATGTGAGGGTGCCCTAGTATTTGTGGCATAGATGTTCAGTATTGAGATTTCCTCTTGATGGATTTTTCCTATGACTAATGTGAAATGTCCTTCTTTGTCTCTTTTGATTGATTTTTAGTTTGAAATCTATTTTGTTAGATATTAGGATAGATACACCTGCTTTTTTCTTAGGTCCATTTGATTGGATTGTTTTTTTTTCCCCAAGCCTTTACTCTGAGACAATGTCTCTCTTTGAAGTTTAGATGTGTTTCTTGTATGTAAAAGAAGGATGGATTTTGTTTCCTTAACCTCTGTTAGCCTGTGCCTTTTTATAGGTGAGTTGAACCCATTTATATTAAGGGATATAATGACCAGTGATTGCTATTTCCTGTTAATTTAGTTTTCATTGTTGGTGATGTGAATTTGTGCGTTTTCCCCTTCTTTGGAATTTACTGCTGTGAGACCATCAATTGTCTGTGTTTTTGTTGATGTAGCCAAGTTCCTTGAATTGGAGTTTTCCTTCTAGTATTTTGTGTAGGGCTAGGTTTGTGGCTAAGTATTTGTTAAATCTGGTTTTGTCATGAAATATCTTTTTTTTTGTCCTTCTATGGTGATTGAAAGTTTTGCTGGGTATAGTAGTCTGGGCGGGCATCCATGGTCTCTTAATGTCTGCATAACGCTTGACCGTGACCTTCTGGCTTTCATTGTCTCCAATGAGAAGTCAGGTGTAATTCTGATAGGTATGCCTTCATATGTTGCTTGACCTTTTAATATTCTTTCTTTACTCTGTATGTTTAGTGATTTGATTATTATGTGACGATGGTACTTTTTTTTTCTTTGATCCAGTGTCTTTTGATGTTCTATAAACTTCTTTTGTCTTCATAGACATATCTTTCTTTGGGTTTGGAAAGTTTTCTATGATTTTGTTAAATATATTCTCTTGCCTTTAAGTTGAACTTCTCCTTCTTCCATAGATTTGGCCTTTTCATGGTGTCCCATATTTCCTGGATATTTTGGGTTGAGCTTTTGTTAAATTTAATATTTTCTTTAACTGATCAGTCTATTTCCTCTATTGTATCTTCAGCGCTTGAGATTCTTTTTCATCTCTTGTATTCTGCTGTTTATGCTTTCATTTGTGGTTCCTGATTTTTTTTTCCTCATGATTTCTGTTTCTATAATTCCCTTGGCTTGTGTTTTCTTTATTGTCTCTATTTCAGTTTTCATGTCTTGAATAGTTTCTTTCATATCCTTGATTTCTTTTTCTTGGCTTTATTTATGGGATTTTCTGATGTCTTCCAATTTTTTTGTTTGTCTTTTTCTCCATTTCTTTGAGAGAATTTCCCATTTCCTCTTTAAGAGTTTCAGACATTCTCCTGAAGTTATATTTTAGGTCCTTTTCTTCTGCTTCATCTATAATTGGTTGTTCAATTCTTGCTTTTGTAGGGTCTTTAGGTTTTACTAGTGTGTTGTTCTTTGTGGTGTTGCGTGTGTTCTTACCTTTTATACTCATCTTTTCCTCTAATAGGTGTGATTGGAGCTGTCTGTGACTCTGTTGATTAATCTTCTAGGTTCCAGTGAATCCAAGGCTCAGATGGTTGTTCCTCATAGTACAGTCAGTGCCATGATTCTAGTTACCCCTTTGGTCATTCTGTGTTCCTGAAGGTTGCTCAAGAGTTCCTGGGCTTTGCTCTACTCCCTTGGAGTTTGCTGTCTCAGGTCTGCCCTAGCCTAGATTGTTGGCCCATACCTGTTTCTGTAAATGTCCCTGGTCTTGGTCCGTTCCTGCAGCAGTCCTTGGCTCAGGGTTGGTCCTATAAAGGACTCTGGCTCCAGTCTCTCCCTTGGAGTTTCCAGTCTCGGGTGCTCCCAGATCCACAGAGGACCTGGCTCAGGTTTACTCCCTCAGAGGTCCCATACTCACACTCTGACCCACAGAGGTTTCTGGTTCCTGCCTATTCCCTTTGACTTCCCAGACCAACTCCCAAACCTACATAGGTCCTAGCTCACACCTATTCTCTCTGAGGTCCCAGACTCACCTGTTTTTAAATTTCATATATATTCCCCCTCCTCCATTCAACCTCTCTCAAGTCCTCCCACTTTCAAGTTCATGTCCTCCTTTTCTTTAATTTTTATTGTTACATATGTATAAACATATAAATACAACCTGCTGAGTCCATTTATTGCTTGTATGTATATGTTTTTAGGGCCAACAAATTGATATCCAATTGCGGTTCTACCTTGGGGAAGACTAATTCTCCCTCTCTCAGCAGTTATTAATTGGCTGTAGTTCTTCATGAACTGCATGTTGTTCTTGAAGTCTTGTGTAGTATCTTGTGAGTCCTTCTATCCTTGTTTGTATGTCAACTGGTGTTGTTATTGTTCTGGTTTTGTTTAAGTAGTCACAATGCTGTTGAGACATGATGTAGTTTCCCCGCCATATAATCTTAAAGCAGACCCCCTAGTCATCTAGCTCTTAGAACCTTTTCTCCCTCTTTTCCTCAATATTCCCAGAGTGTGGGTGCAGGAGTTGTGTTGGGTATCAGTTGGGGCTTTGTATCCCAGTCAGTTGGTTCTCTGTATTTTATTCAACTTAGCTTTCTGTAATGGATTCTGTCTTCTGCACAAAGACAGACATTGATGAGGGGTAAGAAGTGCACTTGTCCATGGGTGTAAGGATGAGTATTAAGAATGCAGTCGATCAGTCCCCTTGTATCAGTGGGTGATCACACCCCTCGTGGTCCTGAGTTTTTTTCATGTTCTTCCTTTTTCTGCCCCTCATTTGGACCATGGGGGCCTCAGTCCGGTGCTCCAATGTGGGTCTCCATCCGTATCGCCATCCATCGTCAGATGAAGAGTTCACCAAGGCCAGTTGGACTGGGACTGAACGAGCATGTGATCCAACCAGATTTTCTGAATGTGGCCAGATCTCTGAATGTGGCTGGTCCGGAGCCTTTCTGAAAAGCCACTGACAATGACACTGGGACTTGTTTCCTCTGCATATGCTGGATTTTTGGGATCCAGTCTGTTCGGATACTCACCTTCAGGGACCTGGAAGGAGTGGGGAGGAACTTGAACTTCCCACAGGGCTGGAAACCCTGACTGCTCTTAGGGATGAAGAGGGAGGAGGAGGGGGAGGGGGGAGTGGGAGGGTGTTGGGAGGAGGGGCGGAAATGAAAACTTTCATAATTTAATAAACTTAAAAAAAAAGAATGCAGTCGAGATTCTACTGCTTTGGAAAGGTAGCAGTAGTTCTCTGGGTTCCCTGGCCGCACCAGTCATTAGTAGTTTACTAGGTTTTCTAGACGAGAAATGAATTCCATGCTTCTGATCTGGGCTTACCCCAAGATAAAAGCATTCTTGAACCTTTGGAGATATCTTGCTATGCTTGCCACTGTGACTTGCCACTGGGTATGACCATTGGTTGCTTTTCTCCCTTAGCAGCTTGGCTTGCAGAAGCAGCTTGATTACGCCATGTCTTGTGTCAGAGAGTATAGGAACACTACCTTAAATGTGATCTGATAATTCAGCTAGTGGAAAAGTTGGAATAAATGCAATGCCTCTGTGATTGTCCTTTATCCCTTTCTGATGTCATAGAGTGAAGACTTCTAGTTAGTGCAAGTTGTAAAAATTAAGACTGAATAATTAGACTCACTAAGAATTTTGAACTATTGAGAGGTTTTGTTTTTTAAAAGATTTTATTTTTATGTGTATGAGTGTTTTGTCTGCATGTATATAAGTACACTGCATGCGTGCCTGTGGAGTGTAGACAGAAGTTTCTGTTCCACTGGGTCCCACAGCCATTCAGTCCCCATGAAACACACAGAGGCTTATATTAATTACAAACTGTTTGGCCTATTAGCACATTTATAAACTAGCTCTTACAACTTAAATTAACCCATAATTCTTGTCTATGTTTAGCCACCTGGCTTGGTACTTTAATCAGTGAAGCATCCTCATCTTGTTTCCTCTGCATCTGTCTGGTAACAACATCTCTGTCTTTCCTCTTTCCAGAATTTTAGTCTGGTTACCCCATCTATACTTCCTACCTAGCTACTGGACAATTAGTGTTTATTAAACCAATATGAGTGGCAAATCTTTATAGGGTACAAAACCATTATCCCTATGGATATTATAGCTATGGAGGCCAGGAGGACACTGGATCCCCTGGAACTGTAGTTAAGGACTGTTTTAAGACACCATTTAGGTGCTGGGAACTGAACCTCATCAGATTGTAGGTTAGGCTGGCCTTAAACTCATAGCCTCCATTTCAGAAATTTGGAATGACTCTGATGTGGCAAGAACCCCAGGCTGCCTGTTCTGGCTGCTTTGCCCACCGCCTACTCCCACAGCATATTTCTTTCTAGCCTGTTCTTCCTTTTCTTCGAAGACTTTCTTCCCCGGGTCCCTAAGTTTAGTGCCTCATTCTCTCCTTGGTTCTCACTTGTCTTGTTTTCTAGTGTCCAGCAGATTGACTTTCCTACTCTGACATTCATCTTAAAATGGATCCATACTTTGTTTTCAGCTGTGCCTCCAGTAGTGAAGTTTACTAGATTGTAACATTAGAAGAACAATCCTCTTAGTTAATGAAGGTAGTGCACACATTTTATGAAGGGCTGAGCAAATAAACCTCCTGTTACTACAGAAGGAAAATGCACCATGAAGAAATGCCTCCAACTGCTGCCCAGTTCTCTCTCTTCATTGTTTTTCTTCTTCTCTGCAGGAATTTTAGCAATAAAGAAAACTAACAAGTTTTTCTTCCAATTCCATACTGTGTGTCCAATCAGCTGTTTTCATCTTTCCTATTCCTGTTCTTATGCAGTAGTGGTATCTACATGTAGTTTAGATGTGTATTTCTTCTTTATTCCAAGTGATTATGGTTGGAAGAATTAGTTATGTGGGAATGTCTTAGGTAATAACAGCTTCTCATTCTGATTATTTCCCTTTAGGAAAGACACTGCTGATCCTGTAACATGGAGGATTGTCTTCATACCTCATCTGAGAATCTGTCCAAATTGGTCAGCTGGGCCCACAGCCATGGGACCATTTGCAGCCTCATTCCAAACCTGAAGCACTTGCTTTCTGAAGGTTCCCATGGGAACCTGACTGCAATGTGGGGCTGTAGTGCTGGCCATGCTTACCACTGGCCACTAACAGCTACTTGCAGAGCTGGGTCCCAAGAGAGGGTTTGTTTCCAGGACAACCGAAGTTTTAATTCTGATAGTCCCAGTATAATTGGGGTGCCTTCTGAGACACAGACTAGCCCTGTGGAAAGATACCCTGGGAGACCCGTGAAGGCAAAGCTGGACTGTAACCGAACCAGAGACTCTTGTGACTTCTCTTACTGCAGTGAGCCCTCTGAACTGGATGAAGCTGTTGAGGAGTATGAAGATGAAAACACACTGTTTGACATGGTTTGCGAGTCTTCTGTTACAGATGAAGACAGTGACTTTGAACCCCAAACCCAGAGGCCTCAAAGCATTGCTCGTAAAAGGCCAGGAATAGTCCCATCTTCCATCCATTCAAGTTCCCAGGGACAGATGGTTGATGAGTGCGGTAGTGATGTCATCATCAAGAAAATCAAGCAAGAGATCCCTGAAGATTATTACATTGTGGCAAATGCAGAGCTGACTGGAGGTGTAGATGGACCAGCCCTTTCCTTGACACAGATGGCAAAGCCCAAGCCTCAAGCTCATGCCGGTCCCTCCTGCGTAGGGTCTGCTAAACTGATTCCCCATGTAACATCTGCCATCAGCGCAGAGTTAGACCCACACATTGTGTCAGCATCCCCCTCCGTGATCTCCAGACCAATCATCCCAAAGACTGCTAGGGTATCTCTGGCTTCACCAAGCAGAGGACCCCCTGGTGCCCATGGCACTGCCCACCAGGTGACCATGCAGATGCCTGTGAGCACATCACATCCTAACAAACATATCAGTATCCCTTTGTCTGCCCTTCAACTGCCTGGACAGGATGAACAAGTGGCTTCAGAGGAGTTCCTGCCCCATTTGCCTAGCCAGGTCTCATCTTGTGAGGTAGCCCTTTCTCCTTCAGTGAACACAGAGCCTGAAGTGAGCTCCAGTCAACAACAGCCTCCTGTTGCTCCAACCATAACCACTGAAGCCACTGCACAGTGCATTCCAGGTATGGAACACGAGGTGACCATAAATCCCTCATCTGCATAGTTTAGAGAATTCTGCGCCATCAGCACTTCTAAGACCGTTTGTTGGTTTAGTTTGCTAGGATGTAGTCATTTTTCATTCTCAGGAAGACAGAAATAATTAACTGTGTTCCAAGAAATTAATACTGTGAAGGAACTCTACCCAAGAAGGCTATCCATTTGGTATATACACCTTAGGGCTAAGATGGCAACTGGAAGATTGTGCTTTTGATGGCTAGACTTAAGGTTCATATCCAGCCTGAGCTGAGCTTTTATAGTAAATCTAATTTTGAAAAAAAATTCTTTCTCCTATTGGTATCAAGGTAGTTAAGCCAACTGATATTGAATAAGGTATATGATAATATTTTTTCTTACTATTTATTTGATCCAGTTTCCTATTGCTATTCATTTTAGTTAGTGTGATAATTTAAACTGATTTTATAAAAGAAACAGGTAACTTCTGAAACAAGTATTTGATCCCATCTTTCAAAACTTAACAGAATCAGATAACATACATTTCTGGAGTAGGCCAACTTAACTCAGTGCATTCACATTGAGAGGTTTGTAGAGTTTTCACAGCTGCTACCTCTGCAATTCTAACATTCTAGTGATCTTTAATTCAAGTATCCATTGTTTATTTGAGCCAGAATATAGTGATATATAGGGGTTTGATGTGCATTCTTTGGACGTCTATAATTCAAATCTAAAAGGACAAAAGTAGGTGTATGGACAAGGGTGAATAGATACACAGAGAATATAGAAAGCAGAACACTTTGGCAAATTTAGTCCCTTTCAAAAGGGCATGCGTTTGGGGAAACATCCTTTTTTTAAAGATTTTTAGTTATTTATTTTATGTATATGAGTACTCTATCTACATGTAATGCCAGAAGAAGGCTTCAGATCCCACTATAGATGATTGTGAGCCATAATGTAGTCGGTGGGAATTGAATTCAGAACGCCTAGAAGAGTAGCCAATGCTCTTAAACACTGAGCCATCCCAGGGAAACACCCTTAAACACTGAGCTACCTGTGTCTTTGGCCTGAAACTCCCTAGAATTAAGTTGCTTTTACAAGTACTCATTTACAGTTATAGTATCAGCCCCAAGGTCTCCAAAAGGAACTTACCACTGAAGATGTTTCTACCATAACCCTGCTGTCAGTAATGGCAGATACTGAAAATGGTCAATTGCTTTGAAAATTATGCTAGTTGAAAAATCAAGAACTTTTATGTGGTTTTTTTTTTAACAGTTCCATTGTGATTCATACCATAAAAGACACTTTTTAAAATTTTATTTTATGAGTGTTTGTGTCCATGTATATGTGTATCACATGTTTGGCTAGTGCCCAAGGAGGTCAAAAATGACATCAGATTGTGAATCATCATGTGTCCTTTGCAAGAGCAACAATCACTGTGAACTGCTGCACCATCACTAGCACTCAGTCCCAGAAGAAGTAGTTTCTCTTTTCTTCTCCCAGTTCGTGGCAGCTGCTCATCTACTTTTATGAATTTATTTTATAACCTCTTGTGACTACTTTGATTTAGTGTGGTATTTTCAGGATCAATCCATATTAGAGCATTTTTTATTGCCAAATAATATTTTACTATAAATATATCATGCTTTATTTTTCTTTAGTCGATGGACAGGCATGTAGACTGTTTCCACCTTTGGTCTGTTTGCTACTATGAACATTTATACACAAGTTATTATGTGAGCATTTTCTTTGATTTTTGTGTGGGCAGCACTTCAGGATGAGAAGCCTCAAATCTGTTTTCTAAAGCCATTTGGTCTTAACTCTTGGCACTAATGGACAAAGGTTCCTATTTCTCTGTATGTCACCAACACATTATTCTCTATGTTTTAGAACTTTCTCCTTTACTCTCAATATACAGGAGGCAGAGGTAGGCAAATCTTTGTGAGTTTGAGGCTAACTTGGTCTACATAGCAAGTTCCAAGCCACCTGGAGCTATGTAAGGAGACTCTGACTTAAAACAAAAAGTCACCATGCTTTTACATGTAAAAAGTAGTATTACAATCTAACCTTTATTATTTTAATAACTAATGACATTGATCATTTTCATGTTCTTATTGGTCATATATGTATATTCTTTTGAAAATTTTCAGATTCTTTGCTTATTTTAAAAATAGATTCTCTTGCCTACTTTGAGTTGTAAGAGTTCTCTGTATTCTGGATGTAAGTCCCTTAATGATTTGCAAATATTTCTTCCTATTCTGTAGGCTTATGCTCATTCATTCATTCATTCGTTCATTCTCCCTCTCTTCCTCTCTTGTTCCACCACTTCTCAGAGGAAGACCTTGAACTTTTTTCTTCTACATCTTAAGTGCTAGAATTATAGGCATTGCCATGTCCAATTATGCTTTCTTTTTTTAAAAGAACTTTATACTTTAATTGTTGTATAATCCTGTGGACTTAGACTGGGATAATCTTCACATTGCTGGACACATGTCTATCGGCAGAAAACATCTTTGTACTAGGAAGTCAAACTTTTAATATATGGGGAATATACATAGTACTTTTCACTTAAATAGTTGTTTTATTCCCTTTTTCTTCTTCTTCTTCTTCTTCTTCTTCTTCTTCTTCTTCTTCTTCTTCTTCTTCTTCTTC